ACGTTAACAAGTAAATAATGAAACAAGGTAAAATGAAGTAAGAACAAAACGTTAACAAGTAAATAATGAAACAAGGTAAAATGAAGTAAGAACAAAAAGTTAAGTAAATAATGAAACAAGGTAAATGAAGTAAGAACAAAACGTTAAGTAAATAATGAAACAAGGTAGAGGAGAGAAAACCCCAACAATCCCCTCTGAGCACGCACTAGGCGACAGTGGGGAGGAAAAACTGCCTTTAAACGGGCAGAAACCTCCGGCAGAACCAGGCTCAGGAGGGGACAGTCAACTGCCGGGACTGGTTGGGGAGGTGAACAGAGGTGGAGCAAGACGAGGCTACACCTGCTGAGGAAGCAGTAGAGTTCCTCCTCCAGGGCCAGCGGAAGCGTTTGTTCTTCTTTTTCATGCAGTTTTCTACAAGAGCTTTTTTTTCCAGGATGAGGGTTCTCAACTCATCGATGGTTTCTTTGTTTTGTTTCTCAAGCTTCTTGCACGTTTTCTCCACCTCTTCCAACGTTGCTTGTTTTTCTCAAGCTTTTCCCTGAGCTCTTGGATGTTTCCTCCTGCATTATCTTGTCCTTGTGCATGTTGCGTTTCTTTGTTGTACTTCTTTGTACATGTCTGTAGCTCTCATTTTTTTGTGGATATCTTGGAGCGTACGCTGCAGGTCGTCATGTATGTTGTCTTGTTCTTGCTTTTGCGCCTGCATTTCAGTGTGTTTGCGCTTCAAGTTGTTGTATTCCAACAATATCCCCTTAGTGAGCTCGGAGTTGTTTCTCGCCATTTGCTCCATCCTTTTCTGCATGTGCGAGCATTGTTTGTCCAGTTTTTCTTTTCCCCTTCTAGTTGCTTTTTCTCGTGAAGAAGGTCTTTATTTTGGCGCAGAGTATCATCCACCTTCTCTTTCAGCATTCTGTATTTTTCCTCCGGACTTTGAGTTTGTGCTCCATGTCTCTTTGCTTTTCTCCTGTTCTTCCTTCTGTTGGAGATTTCTTCATTTTTTTCACAGCTTCATCGAAGTTTGTTTGGAGCAGCCGATTCATTTGGTCCATATATGGAGATCCCATTCTGTCTTCTCAACAGTAGCTTTGCTGTCTTTAAGCTGGTTGGACATCTCCTTAGTTCCACGCTCTTTTGCTTGTTTTCCTTAATTAGGAAGACAACCTGCTCTCGGGCTTGTCCAACTTGATTCCCAACCCTCATTAATAATATTTATGTCGGGCTGGCGTTTTTGTCTTTCTTCCAGGTTCTTATTTTGCGCTTCCATCTGTCTACACTTCTCCTCCAGTTGAAGTTTCTCTTCTTCAATCTGTTGAATTTATTCTGGAGATGGTAGTTTTCCTTCTTACTGTCATGTAATGCCCTTTGGACGGCTAAGAGGTCATTTGGGGAATTGGCCGGCCACGACAGGAAGGAGAAGCGGCGTAATCTTTTTGCCTTGGTTGGTGTCTTGTTGGATACATGTTGAAGGTTGTACACGACAACTCTGAAAAGGTTTCCAAAAGTTTCTGTGGTGAACGTGTGAAGGCTGCAAACACAAATGCTGCGAAGACACGAACTAAAAAACTGCTGTGTGTCACCCCTGTTTAAGGAAAAACTTCAAAGGATCGTGTAGTGACATCATAACTCCGTGAGCCAATGAGATTGTCATGTGACATTTTGGAATGGGGATATTTTTTTTAAACCGTTTTCAAATTTAACTTAATATTTGACTGTTTCTTAACTGACCTGTTTAGCTGATTAAGAAATGAATTGAAACGAGCATCACTAACGTTATATAACAGACAACAGAAAAAAAACAGTTTTTTTTCTAAGTAATAGAGGTATAATACATTTTTTAAATTTTTTTTTAAATTATCCTACTTTTTATAAGAGGGAACATTATTTAAAGAATATGTATTTAATTGGAAAACTCTCTATTCGTCTAAAGGCTATAACAAGAAAGGTGAGCTTCCTGCTCAAAAATGAAATGACCAAAATAAATGGAGCATTTCTCTGCAATTACAAACTCTGTGTAAACAATCTTGGTTTCAAAATAAGGCTAATGCTGGTGAGATGTCATCACAGGTGTAAATATTACTGCAGATGTTACTATGTCAAAGTTTCACAACTGTCTTATGTTTATTTATGTAGGCAAGACCTACTTTTCACTTTTTTGCTTTGCTATATGTTCTTGAGTGTATTAGTTTGCCAGCAGCACGAACATGTACTAGTGTCAATAATAATAGTACGGTGGATTAGAAAACCTGCTCACAAGTTGAATAAACATCCAGGATTGTTTCATCATTTTCATTCAAACCAATATTTGAGTCAAAATGAGAAAGTTGTTTGTGCTGTCTGATGAAGAAGAAGCAAAATAAAGTGCAGTTTTGATGTAGATGATGTTGTATACAAACTAGAAGAGGAAGATAGTAGGATCTCTGTATCATGCTTTGTCACTTTGTACCATGTAATTCTTTCTATTTCCACCAGGGGTGTTTTTCAGAGGTGGTAGGTGGTAAAAGAAGAGGTCAGCAGGAAGATGGCGAAGAGCGACCAAAGACCAAGAAAAAGAGGCAGTCAGGCAAAGATGAAGAGTATTATATCCCTTACAGACCTAAAGACTTTGACTCTGAGAGAGGGTGAGGCATTAAACTGTTGCATCTGTTTCTTTAAAAAATGTGAATGGCTTTGTGTTTTATGCTGTTTTGTCCTGTGTTATGCGTCGACAGGTTGAGTCTCGGTGGAGAGGGCAGTGCTTTTGAACAGCAGGCCTCTTCAGCTGTCCTTGATCTCATGGGAGATGAAGGCGATCGCCTTAACCAGCAGAAGAAAATGATGAAATGGTACAAATTTCCCTATGTTTGACTCAGTATCCACCAAATGTCATTTCAAACTATAATTTAAAGTCTTTTTTCCCCTTCTTTTTTTAGGGACCGTAAGAGGAAGCGTTTTGTGAGAGAAACGGGAAAAGAAGACCAGAAGAAGAAGATCAAAACAGACAGCGGTCAGGTTATCAGTAACAAGAAGAACAGGAAGAACTTGTATCCTTCCAACAAAAAGCTTCTCTGTGTGCTGCTCTCAATGACCCTCTTCTCTACTCCTATGACAATATTAAGCTGTACTGTGAAGATGTTGTATCACTTGACAACATGTCAGTTATGAGGAGTGAAGGAAAAAATACAAGATTGATGATACAGGATCTGGATCAGATGGAGAAACAGGCGGAGGAGGCAGGAAGCCAGCAAGAGGTAGGAAGGCATCAAAATGAATAGCACAAACATGTTAAATATAGAACATCAGCCACCATGTTTTAACTCAACTCTAAAGGTAAATACTTCAAGTCCCTCTTCCAGCCTTGCGAGCTATAACCTCCAACCTCTTTGTTGTGTCGTGCCTCTCCCAGGTCGTGGCCGTGGCCGACGAGGTCCAAACGTACAGAGCTCCGGTGACCACAAAGCACGCTCGGAGCTGAAAACAAAGGATCAGATCATGAAGCAGCGCAAGAAAAAGCAGAAGCACCAGTTCCTGCAGGGCGGGGGGATGAGGAAGCTCCGCTCCAAGAACAAAAAGTTCGGAAAGTTAAAAAGTCAGGTTTTGGAAGGGGTGGCCATAAGAAAGGCAAGCTGAGGAAGAAACTGGGAGGAGGACAGAGGGTTGATGGTGTGGAGGACATCAGGAGGAACTGGGTGATAAGCGTCAGAATCATCTGAGAACATCACCAAAGATTTTCCTGGCGCTTTGTGTGACTGTAGATTAAGGAGAAAATCATTTGTGAATCTTTACACTGCAGAAATGCACGTCACTTCTTCCTTGATGGCCTGCTGAACTCTGCGTTTGCCACAGAGTTATGTTTAATTATGATCCACTAACCTGGATTTACTACTTGTAAGCATGTTGGCAGTCTAATAAAAGTGTTTTGGAGTACTGAAATATGTCTTATCAAAATGGTAAAATACAGATATTAAATATTGTGTGCTTAATTTGCAGTTAGTTTCAAAAATCGTCTCGCCCATCTTTTCTTAAAATAAGAGGTGCTCTATAAAAATGACATTAAATTCTGTAAACGTGCTCTATTTGCAATTATTTATCATTACTGTTGTCCAAGTGGTCTCATTTCAAAGTTGAAAGCGAGCATCGGAACGGGCAAGAAAGGCGACTTTTAATTGACTTTGAATGTGTTGTGGTTACTGATATCAGATGGGCTGGGTTGAGAAACTGGCTTAGAATTCCTCTTGCCTTCAGCATGGCCACGCCCCTCTGACTTCTGCAATCAACAAGGCATTTTTACCCAGGGAAATGTTTATTTCGCTTTTCAGTTTGGACTGTTCTCTGTAAATTCCTGAGAAAATTTGAGAAGATCAGGAGTGTCTGAAAAACGTAAAACAGCCCATCTGTCACCAACAGCAATGCTGCCTTCAAAGTCACTTAAATCACCCTTTTTTTTCTGGCATGTGATTGGCTGATTAGATATTTGCATTCACAAGCAGCTGAATAGGTTAGTGCAGGGGTCAGCAACCTGCGGCTCTTTAGTCCTTTTAGTGCGGCTCTGCGTGGTTTGGGAAAATAAATTATTTTTTTAAGTAATTAGCTGAAGTGTATTTTATTTATGTTAGTTCTTTTTTAACTTGTAGTTCTAAATTGGAAGATTACTGTGATATTGAAATGAAATATAAATATAAAATTATATTCTATTAGTTTTTGAACGCTCAAATAAGCGTCACACTTGCGGAAGCCGATATACCCGCCGAAACGCCGTGCATTTATCGAGACTTTCAACCCCAGGTAGGCTAATTATCAATCTTCGGATCCACATTATGTCAGCAGCTCCACCGTGAACTATGTTAAAAACAAACACCGCTCACGCCTCACAGATGACAGCTTACAGTCCTGCATAAAGATGAAAGTGACTTCATACAGCTCCGATTTGCAGACGCTGTGCGCAGAGATTCAGGAGCAGAAGTCCCATTGTAAACATATCACGGCAGACCCAACGATGTTTCCATGAACACGCTTTACAGCTTCTCTTTATTGACCACTTTTCACACACGGTTGCTGTATGCATACAGCCGGTGTTAAAGCTCACAGCCCGACACATACCAACACAACAGCATAGAGAGCACAGACGTTAAGGCGCCGAGGCGTGATCGCGGGTGCCGCTCAGGTGCGTCCGCCTCCCCTGCAGCGGCGCTGCAGACCACGCCCCGCCACACACATTAACCAGGTAAAATACATATTGTCAGGGTTCCTGGGTCGGTGACCCAGTGTTTTCAGTTTTGTTCATGTTCATATATATATATATATATAGCATATAGTAAACAATGAATCTGTAAACGACAGCTGTTGACATTTTTTAAAAATGAATGAAAAAGCATATTTAAATAATCAACATACATGATTTAAATATAAACACACACGTGACAAGAGACAGAACGTGTAGAAGATATATGCAGAAAGAGCTTTCAGTGGTCAGCTGATAACATGATATCTAAAAAATACATAGCTCATTTTCCTGTCTGTTAGTTGGACATGCTAACCTGTTAACAAGCTCCTATATTCACCCATACAGTTTGTAGATCATTTTGCTAAAATAGGTAAAATCTCCACTCTTTCAGGGCACTAATAGGCTAAAGGCATATTACAAAAGGTCATTCATGTATTCACAGATTCTCTGTAGTTATTCTGCTGCTCATTCACCTGTAAAAACCACACCAATCATTATTTCAACAGCCTTTTTATTTTGGAACAAAAGCATTTGACGATATGACTTACAGGACGTTACCAAATTCATGAAGCTATATTTGTGAGTTTATTTATCAATATCAGTTTAATGTAAACAGACTGATGTAGTAATAGACAGTAAAATGTTGGTGCGTGTGTAATATATGAGCGTTTATGTTTCTCTACATGGGTAAAAGTACTCCATGTCGCCCTCTGGTGGTAGCAACCAACTATGAAAAGAATGGATGTTGGATCTTAACTAAATGATAAAAAGTTTTATTACTTTGTATTACTTTCTTTAGTTTGGTAAAATTTACAGTTTTAATCCCGTAAAAAAATAAATCACTATCATAGAGAGGGATATTAGTAATTCGTTTGTTAATAACACTTTGTTTGTGTTTGCTAATGTTTCGACAGGAAAATGGTTTTCTACAAAGTTGTTTCATGTACAGAGTAACACACACACACACACACACACACACACACACACACACACACACACACACACACACGTATGACTTTGCCGGTTTCAGCTGAAACAATTTCAGTGTTTCAAACCATGTTCCAGGATTTTTCCTTCAGCATTTATGAGGTTTCAAGAAGAAGATAAACGACAGATATGAATGTTTGAAAAAGTTATAGATGAAAAGATGAAAAATACTCAAAGGATAAATTCAATTGGTTTATTTTTTTATGAATAAGTTGAAAAAGAAAAAGTTAAACAAGTAAATAATGAAACAAGGTAAAATGAAGTAAGAACAAAACGTCAACAAGTAAATAATGAAACAAGGTAAAATGAAGTAAGAACAAAACGTTAACAAGTAAATAATGAAACAAGGTAAATGAAGTAAGAACAAAACGTTAACAAGTAAATAATGAAACAAGGTAAAATGAAGTAAGAACAAAACGTTAACAAGTAAATAATGAAACAAGGTAAAATGAAGTAAGAACAAAACGTTAACAAGTAAATAATGAAACAAGGTAAAATGAAGTAAGAACAAAAAGTTAAGTAAATAATGAAACAAGGTAAAATGAAGTAAGAACAAAACGTTAAGTAAATAATGAAACAAGGTAGAGGAGAGAAAACCCCAACAATCCCCTCTGAGCACGCACTAGGCGACAGTGGGAGGAAAAACTGCCTTTAAACGGGCAGAAACCTCCGGCAGAACCAGGCTCAGGAGGGGACAGTCAACTGCCGGGACTGGTTGGGGAGGTGAACAGAGGTGGAGCAAGACGAGGCTACACCTGCTGAGGAAGCAGTAGAGTTCCTCCTCCAGGGCCAGCGGAAGCGTTTGTTCTTCTTTTTCATGCAGTTTTCTACAAGAGCTTTTTTTTCCAGGATGAGGGTTCTCAACTCATCGATGGTTTCTTTGTTTTGTTTCTCAAGCTTCTTGCACGTTTTCTCCACCTCTTCCAACGTTGCTTGTTTTTCTTCAAGCTTTTCCCTGAGCTCTTTGGATGTTTCCTCCTGCATTATCTTGTCCTTGTGCATGTCTGCGTTTCTTTGTTGTACTTCTTTGTACATGTCTTGTAGCTCCTCATTTCTTTTGTGGATATCTTGGAGCGTACGCTGCAGGTCGTCATGTATGTTGTCTTGTTCTTGCTTTTGCGCCTGCATTTCAGTGTGTTTGCGCTTCAAGTTGTTGTATTCCAACAATATCCCCTTAGTGAGCTCGGAGTTGTTTCTCGCCATTTGCTCCATCCTTTTCTGCATGTGCGAGCATTGTTTGTCCAGTTTTTCTTTTTCCCCTTCTAGTTGCTTTTTCTCGTGAAGAAGGTCTTTATTTTGGCGCAGAGTATCATCCACCTTCTCTTTCAGCATTCTGTATTTTTCCTCCGTGACTTTGAGTTTGTGCTCCATGTCTCTTTGCTTTTTCTCCTGTTCTTCCTTCTGTTGGAGGATTTCTTCATTTTTTTTCACAGCTTCATCGAAGTTTGTTTGGAGCAGCCGATTCATTTGGTCCATATATTGGAGATCCCATTCTGTCTTCTCAACAGTAGCTTTGCTGTCTTTAAGCTGGTTGGACATCTCCTTTAGTTCCACGCTCTTTTGCTTGTTTTCCTTAATTAGGAAGACAACCTGCTCTCGGGCTTGTCCAAACTTGATTCCCCAACCCTCATTAATAATATTTATGTCGGGCTGGCGTTTTTGTCTTTCTTCCAGGTTCTTATTTTGCGCTTCCATCTGTCTACACTTCTCCTCCAGTTGAAGTTTCTCTTCTTCAATCTGTTGAATTTTATTCTGGAGATGGTAGTTTTCCTTCTTACTGTCATGTAATGCCCTTTGGACGGCTAAGAGGTCATTTGGGGAAATTGGCCGGCCACGACAGGAAGGAGAAGCGGCGTAATCTTTTTGCCTTGGTTGGTGTCTTGTTGGATACATGTTGAAGGTTGTACACGACAACTCTGAAAAGGTTTCCAAAAGTTTCTGTGGTGAACGTGTGAAGGCTGCAAACACAAATGCTGCGAAGACACGAACTAAAAAACTGCTGTGTGTCACCCCTGTTTAAGGAAAAACTTCAAAGGATCGTGTAGTGACATCATAACTCCGTGAGCCAATGAGATTGTCATGTGACATTTTGGAATGGGGATATTTTTTTTTAAACCGTTTTCAAATTTAACTTAATATTTGACTGTTTCTTAACTGACCTGTTTAGCTGATTAAGAAATGAATTGAAACGAGCATCACTAACGTTATATAACAGACAACAGAAAAAAAACAGTTTTTTTTCTAAGTAATAGAGGTATAATACATTTTTTAAATTTTTTTTTAAATTATCCTACTTTTTATAAGAGGGAACATTATTTAAAGAATATGTATTTAATTGGAAAACTCTCTATTCGTC